CAGTTAAAGCACATCTTGTCCCAATATGTGCGGACCTGACTGTATATATACACACACATATACACACTATATTGCCAAAAGTATTGGATTCAGGTGTTTCACCTCCATGGCCACAGGTGTATAAAATCAAGCACCTAGGCATGCAGACTGCTTCTACAAACATTTGTGAAAGAATGGGTCTATCCTCTCCGTGAATTCAAGGTCAGTGAATTCAAGAGTGGTACTGTGATAGGTTGCCACCTGTGCAATAAGTCCATCCGTGACATTTTCTTGCTACTAAATATTCCACGGACAACTGTTCGTGGTATTATAACAAAGTGGAAGCAACTGGGAACAACAGCAACTCAGCCAACAAGTGGTAGGCCACGTAAAATGACAGAGCGGGGTCAGCGCATACTGAAGCGCACAGTGCGCAGAAGTTACCAACTGTCTGCAGAGTCAATACCTAAAGATCTCCACACTTCGTGTGGACCTCAGATTAGCAGAACAACAGTGAGAGCTTCATGGAATGGGTTTTCATGGCTGAGCAGCTGCATCCAAGCCTTACATCATCAAGTGCAATGCAAAGCAGCGGATGCAGTGGTGTAAAGCTCTTAAGGCGTCAGCATACCAAAACATTTTGGACAATTTCATGCTCCCAACATTGTGTGAACAATTTGGGGATGGCCCCTTCCTGTTCCAACATGACTGCGCACCAGTGCACAAAGCAAGGTCCATAAAGACATGGATGAGCAAGTTTGGGGTGGAGGAACTTGACTGGCCTACACAGAAACCTGACCTCAACCCCATAGAACACCTTTGGGATGAATTAGACCAGAGACTGCGAATCAGGCCTTCTTTTCCGACATCAGTGCCTGACCTCACAAATGCGCTTCTGAAAGAATGGTCAGACCTTCCCATAGATACACTCCTTAGAGGAAGGAGCAGAGTCCTCCAGCAGTGCAGAGTATTTCAGGAGAGGAGAGTCAGGCCTTGTTCACACTTGATTGTTTTGAAGCTTATAGCTTGAAGCTCATAAATGCTCAACAATTCAAAACCTAGTGTTTTCAATAGTCCATGTAGCAAAATGCCTGTCACTCAAAAAAAAGTACATACACTACTTTTCAGGCAGAATTGAGTGTTTTTGTCCCAATACAACCTCAGTGGAAATGCCTAAAAAGCTTGACATGACTCTTTTTCAACCGTTTTTTGAAGTGTTTTGTCACGCTTTTTCTGTTCAAACAGCAGCTCTCTCCTCCTTTTTCAGCAGTACTCCATACCTTTTAGTTGAAAAATGCTTGAAAAAACGTCTGACAAAAGCTGCAAAAACGTGCAATTCTGCTCCAAAAAATTATCAGAAATGCTTGAAAAAAAGGCTTGAAAACGTGACACTTAGGTGTGAATGTAGCAGCCAGGGGCAGACTGACCATTTGGAAACTTGGCACTGCCCGACGGCCCGGGGTCAGTAGGGGGCCCCATGAGATGCCCCTGGTACCTTTTTCATAGGCTTTTTGGAGTTTGGGCAAGGACACAGGGGCCCCATGAACCCCTATTGCCCGAGGGCACCATGAGTTGTCAGTCCGCCCCTGGTAGCATCAGATAGAGGAAGGAGCTGAGTCCTCCAGCAGAGAAGAGTATTGCAGGAGAGGATCATTAGAAGAAAGAGCAAATTTTTCCAGCAGTGCAGAGTATTTAAGGGGAGAGTTAACCCCTTCACGCCCAAGGGTAAAACAAATCTTAAAGCCTAAGTAAAATTTTACAACTTTGACATGTGTTAGTAAAACTGTACATATCATCACAACTACTTTGTACATCCAGGTGGATTACACCTTGTTTTTTTTCAGGACAAACTGGGCTTTTATTTGGTGGTAAATGGAAATGGATATCTCCATTATTATCAAAGGAAACCTGGCTCAAAATAGTAAAAAAATAAATCTGTTGTGTTTTAATTTAGCTGTGTGTTTCTTGTTACTATCATAGCCTACCGCCAAAGAACAACCCAAAATACATTCTCCAGCTCTTGACGATCGCAGCAATACCATATATGTGTAGATGGTAAGCCCCACGAGCAGGGGAAGAAGAAGAAGAAGAAAATTATTTGACCTGGACCCAAATATTAACCCTGGCATTGAACTAGATCAAACCTTGACCTAGGTATTTTTTTTTTCTTTATTTTCTTTATTTATCTTTTTTTTTTTTTTAAAAACAGTTGGTTTTTTTTTTTTTTCTTTCTGCAAGGAGAGAGAGAGATACAATGTATCTCTCTCCTCTGTTTAGAGAGAAAAAAAAACAAGGGGGGGGGGGGGGGGGGGCGGGCTGTACAGTGACTGATCACTGTGACAACCAATCAAAGGCTATCACAGCGATCATCAGGAATCCCGAGTCCCGATCACTAGAACGGGACCTGGGGCTGTCAGTGACACCCCTGACTTTGTGCTGGGAGCTCGCTGTGTGGCGTGCTCCCAGCACAAAGACAGGTATGTAAATACGTGGCCCCACGGAAAAAAGCCCAGTTCTGTGACGTCGGCGTCAAGGGGTTAAGCAATCCATACATTATGCAATATTCTTTCCTTCCACCACGAGTGGAAGGAATGAAAATTGCTTCATTCCCCATCAACACAGTTAGTTTTGATGGGGGAATCTCTCCCGCAGCGCAATTGTGTTCTACCAGCAGAACACAGTGATCACTGCTGGTGACAAAAGCTGCTGGCATTGAAAGCATGCAAAAAATTCGGCAGGCTGGTTGCACTAAAGTCGTTTGATAGATTGACTTCAGTACAACCAGACTTCCCATAGATGTATCGAATCTCAGCTGGTTCCTGCTGAACCGATCCATCTATGGCTGACTTTAGATAGAGGAAGGAGCAATGTTCCCTAGAAGTGCAAATTATTTCAGGAGAAGAGAGCTAGAGAAACAGCGGAGTCGATTTGCACTGCAGAGTAATTCAGGAGGGGAGAGGTAAAAGAGGAAACATAGTTATCCAGCAGTGCAGAGTATTTCAGGAGAGTCAGAGAGTTAGGGAAGGAGAAGAGTCCACCTGCAGTGCAGAGTAATTCGGGATGGGAGAGGTAAAAGAGGAAACATCAAGCAGTGCAGAGTATTTCAGGAATAGAGTGGAGTACAAAGTGACACAGATGGAGGAAATTGATACACAGTGGACAGTCTTCTATCTTTTGAGAATATTCTGCTGAGTTGGATAGCCGTCTCTGGAGTTCACTCCCTGCTGGAGAATCCTGCTGAGTGGCTCTGGGCTGTTTGTCTATCACTGTCACATTAATTGATCCATGGGAGACAGGTGAAATTTTACAAGGAATGCAGCCTTAACTCCTTACCAACTTCCACCCACCCTGAAAATCTAATGTCCCCTTCATATAAAAAATCCAACAATGTGTAAAGTGGGGTTTGCATCAAACCTTGTTATACGCATATCCTGTTCTTCACGATTCCCTCCAGACTGGTACTGAGAGTAACCTCTGAGAGCAGTATAAGAATATGTCCACTGAAAGTGTCAAATGTAATCCTTGACATTGAACTTCTCTACTGTATTTGCACCCTTTTTTAAGTATACCATTGAGAGCTTGTTCACATTGTAGAAACAGGCAGTAGAGCCATGATTTTACCACCCATCCAAAGAAGGACATGTAGCAACTCAGGGCTGTGCACATGCCAGGGCTGCAATCCATTGCGGCAAAAATGAAACCCTCTGCCTCATTTGGTGGACAGTATCGCCACCTAATGTGCCCAATCAAGTGACGCAGTTGCAGCGCAGTGGTTGAGCCATTTTAGAGTTAAATAAAGCAGTGAGAAGGTGACATATTGCCTCCCAGCTGCCTGTCAACCACCCCCTGAAATGCAATCCACCATAGATTGTTTTTCAGAGGGGTGGCAAGAGGCCTCAGCCCTGGCTCACACTGTGCGGTTGGTTGAGTGAATCACATCTTTTCCCGCACTCATAACTACCCGCAGCCAAACTGTGCTGCTCTTACGAGACGTGAGGGACTGCCATTCATTCTGAATGGCACCCCCATGCATCTCACCCCGCAGTGCATTTGTGGGTGAAGGAACCGCAGGGAAATTTCAAGGTCAAAAAGAGATGCAATTTTCCTGCGGTACCTTTTTTTTGCTGAAAACACAGGCACAGCAGTCCATTCAAATTAACAGACTGCTGTACCTGTGCAAACGCAGGCCGCATAGTCTGCACAAATGTGAACCACGGCTCAAAGTGTTTAACTAGATCTGCTTAATAAGAAACAACTGCTAGGCCTTGTTAACACTTTGTGTAGCGGGAGGGCTTGTTCCCCCTTGCTTTTTTTTTACCTGTTTCCACATGTCATGCCAAAGACGCTCAGGTACCAAGATTTGGAACTGAGCCAGGAGCACATTTTGCTGCAATTCCAGAATTATGGGCAGAGTTGCAGGATTCTGATATGCTTAGGTACATACCTCCCAACTTTTTGAGATGGGAACAAGGGACACCTATTAGAAAATGTATGTAAGGAATAGGACACACCCCCTTAAAGGAGAATTATACATAAAAAAGATTTGTTAAACCCACAAGTGTTTTTTTACTATTACTATTCCTGTGTACTGGCTTTTGAAGTTTACAAATGTAATAATTTAGAAACTGGATTAAATATTTAGCACTGGGAAACACTTTTTTGAAAGATAACTAGTGCATTTTCTATACAATTATGTAAATCAGAAAAAATGAGGGACAAATGAGGAGGAAAGAGGGACTTTGTTCCAAATCAGGGACAGTCCCTCGAAATCAGTGACAGTTGGGAGGAATGTAGGGCACTCTGATGGGGACCCTGAAGTCAGGGGGTGATCTGATGGAGACCCTGATGTAAAGAGGCACTCTGAAGGGGAGCAAGAAATAAGGGGGAACTCTGAAGGGGACCCTGATGTAAGGGGGCACTCTGAAGGGGACCCTGATGCTACGGGGTGCTCTGATGGGGACCCTGATGTAAGGGGTGCTCTAATGGGGTCCCTGATGTAAAGGGGCACTCTGAAGGGGACCCTGAAATAAGGAGGAACTCTGAAAGGGATCCTGATGTAAGGGGGCACTCTGATGGGGACCCAGATGTAAAGGGGCACTCTGAAGGCGACCCTGATGTAAGGGGGTACTCTGATGAGGACCTTGATGTAAGGGGGCACTCTGTTGGGGACCCTGAGGTAAAGGGGCACTCTGAAGGGAACCCTGATGTAAGGGGGCACTCTGATGTGGACCCTGATATAAGGGGGCACTCTGATGGGGACCCTGATAAAAGGGTCTCCCTGATGGGGTCCCTGATGTAAGGGGGCACTCTGGTGGGGGCCTTGATGTAGAGAGCACTCTATAAGGGGTCACAGGTTTTGTTTAATGACCCTAATCTAATGACAGCCTAATACATACAAGGTTGTGCCACTGTGTAACAGACTGTCAGTGACTCGCATGCAGTGTTGACATTCTGCCCTCTGACTCATTTTTACTGCACCCCCACATCAGATAGGCTAGATCTGGCCCTGATTACAACCATGTTCCTACATAGATACAGTATAGTGGGTACTATGGTCTAACAAACCGTATAGATTCCAATGAGTGTTTCTATGACCAGCGACATGAGTGACACTCAGTACAGGGCACAGCAGTTCCCACACCAAGCCCTCGTTGACTCTGCACAGATTGTCAGCTCTGCGCCTTATCAGTGATTGGCTGCATTTCCTGCACTTTATGTCCACATCAGATAAAAATGTCAGACTTCCTTCTAGTAGAAAAAGCTGTCAAGAAACAAAGAAAATACCGAGAAATGTGCAGGCAGCTGGGCGAGGAATGTTTGTTTCAACAATTACTTGCAGAGAGCACTCTATAAGGGGGCACAATTACTTGTAGAGAGCACTCTAGAGGGAGCACAATTACTATAAGGGGCACTCTATAAGGGGGCACAGGTTCTGTTTAATGACCCTAATCTAATGACAGCCTAATACATACAAGGTTGTGCCACTGTGTAACAGACTGTCAGTGACTCGCATGCAGTGTTGACATTCTGCCCTCTGACTCATTTTTACTGCACCCCCAGATCAGATAGGCTAGATCTGGCCCTGATTACAACCAGGTGGAAACTGACCAAAGGAGAAAGAAAATTGAAGTTCTCTTCTCACTTTGCCCCTGTTGTATTGCTGTGGGATAGGTCTGAAAAGCTATTGAGAAATCTGCAGGTGATCACTGCTGACCTGAAAATACTGGCTGCCTGGATGCCATGACCTCCGGCATCATTATTTTTATACTTACATTTTCCAGATGTCTTCAGGATGGTCGTGTGCTTGTGGGGTCCTCTTCCTCTGTAGATGGTGGTCCTCAGATTACTGCACTCTGCATCAGTGGTATCCAAACTGCGCCCCAGGGGCTGGATGGGGCCATTTGCTTACTTTTAACCAGCCCTTGGGGCACTATTTCATCCACTGATACCAACAATGAGGCATAATTCCCCCCAATGACACCAAACTAAGGGGCACAATTCCTTCCAATGACAACAGTAATGGGGCACAATTCCTCCCAATGACAACAATAATGGGGCACAATTCCTCCCAATGACAGAAATGATAGGGCACAATTCCTCTCAATGACAACAATAATGGGGCACAATTCCTCTCAATGACAGAAATGATAGGGCACAATTCCTCCCAATGACAACAATAATGGGGCACAATTCCTCCCAATGACAGAAATGATAGGGCACAATTCCTCTCAATGACAACAATAATGGGGCACAATTCCTCTCAATGACAGAAATGATAGGGCACAATTCCTCTCAATGACAGAAATGATGATGGGGCACAATTCCTCTCAATGACAACAATAATGGGGCACAATTCCTCTCAATGACAACAATGATGGGGCACAATTCCTCTCAATGACAACAATAATGGGGCACAACTCCTCCCAATGACAACAATAATGGGGCACAATTTCCTCCCAATGACAACAATGATGGGGCACAATCCCTCCCAATGACACCAATGATGGGGCACAATTCCTCTCAATGACAACAATAATGGGACACACAATTCCTCCCAATGACAGCAATGATGGGGCACAATTCCTCCCAATGACAGCAATGATGGGGCATATTTCCTCCCAATGACAGCAATGATGGGGCACAATTCCTCCCAATGACAGCAATGATGGGGCATATTTCCTCTCAATGACGGCAATGATGGGTCATATTTCCTCTCAATGACGGCAATGATGGGGCATATTTCCTCTCAATGACAACAATGACGGGGGCACAATTCCTCCCAATGACAGCAATGATGGGGCACAATTCCTCCCAATGACAGCAATCATGGGGCATATTTCCTCCCAATGACAACAATGATAGGGCACAATTCCTCCCAATGACAACAATAATGAGGCACACTTCCTCCCAATGACAGCAATGATGGGGCATATTTCCTCTCAATGACAACAATGATGGACCACAATTCCTCCCAATGACAACAACGATGGGGCACAATTCCTCCCAATGACACCAACAATGGGGCACAATGACACCAACTATGGGCCACAATTCCTCTCAATAAACACCAACGATGGGGCACAGTTCCTCCCACTGATGCAAACAATGGGTCGCAATTCTTTCCACTGTCACCAAAGATGGGGGCATTGTCTATTACCACTGACATCGGGACGTTTTCTTCTCCCACTGGCCACAGTTCGACCCCCTAAAGTCTGAAGGACAGTAAACTGGCCCTTTGTTTAGAAAGTTTGGCGACCCCTGCTCTACATCATTGCATGTGTAGGGTGCTGTAGTGACCCCCTTTCACCATGACACCCTGTACTCACAGTATGTCCTCAGTCTTCTGGATGAATAATGCTTGGCGTCCTGGTGGAATTCAATTACTGCCGAGGACAGCTCTGGAGAAGAACAGAGTATTGCAGCCAGAGCTTATCTTTCTATTTTCAGCAGCACCTTGGGGAGTATTTAAAATTATTTGCCCAGATTTGGGTTTAAAGTCAAGACTCCTGATCTGCATGTTTGCTGTGGCTCAGTGACATCCCATATGCTTTTCTTTCTTACCTGTCCTATTTCTGAAAATACTTTTTGCCTGGTGGTCTATGGCTTCATTCAAAACCCTGATGGTGGGGGGATTGCATCTTTAAATCAGCATGGGGACTTTATTTCAAATGCAACCGGATCAAATTTGCACCACATATATGTGAACAGCCTTCATTGGAAATAATGCTTTTTTTAGATTACATGTGAATCTATGCTTTTCGGTTTGCATCTGATCCTCTTAGAATTCGCATCAGTGTGAACCGGCACTAACAGCAGATATTCCGAGTCCAGAATTATATGTTATATCATGGCATCTCAAATACACAGTAATGTAACATACCATAAAATGCTCATACACAGGCCGAGTTTACTCAGCAAACAGGTACAAGGACAAATAGAAACAGTAAAAAAGCATAAAAGAATGGGGTTGATTTACTAAAACTGGTGTGTGTAAAATCTGGTGCAGCTGTGCACGGGAGCCAATCAGCTGCTATGTTTAGTCAGCGGTCACACCACTGCGATTTAAAATCATGCGTGCGTGCAATTTCTAAAGACTTGTGAAGATTTTCAATGATTTCTTGCAACTGGCATTTCTAATATATTCTATGAATGTGAATCTCAATAAACTGCAGAAAAAGTTATGTAAGAACTACTTTAGAAATTGTGCTGCAGCAAATCGCACATGTTAAGACACTGACATACACATTCATTAGATGCGATTTCATGTGCGATTTCAATTTGCAAATTACACCTTAAATCGCACCGGTGTGACCAGGCACTTATTGTCAAAGCTTAAAGTGCTACTAAACCCAGGACCCTGAATTCACTATATCTGGTCTCCCACAGTACACAGAACATAGAAATGCAATTACTTTAATAAATATAAACTGCTGAATACCTTTTCTCATCAGCCGTTAGAGCAGTCTTGTGACTTCTATCAGTGTCTAGCAGAGCACTGGTTAAAGCTTGTAGGAGGAGTTTTCATTCTCCTATAGGAGGATTCTGTACCCCTGACCTCTGTCTGGAGAGTGCTGATTGGCCTTGAGCTGATTACATGCACTCTCCCAAGAAAAAGAAAAACACTCTCTAGCAATACACACCAAACTGAGCATGTGCATCCTGCTCCTGACTCTCTGTTCTATCAGAATATTTTTGGAGACACTGGAAGAAGGGGAGGATCAGAGAAGACAGGATCAAGCATCCTTTTTACACAATGTGGAGAACTAACCCCTTAGGTTTCACAGCAAGTATAACAATCATGCTTTACTGCAGCAGTAGGCAACCTTAAATTGGTGGAGATCTACCTGACTGATTTTACTGTTGTGGGTTTAGTAACACTTTATTGAACAAGCTGAAGTTACAAGCTAGAAGTTAGAAGCTGATTGGCTTCTATACAGAGTTGCCTTCTCCAGTTTTAGTAAATCAACCCCAGTGGGCAGACCATGGGACACCAGTGTGGTGTATGCCATGTTTCCGGACCAGGGGCGGACTGACCATTTGGAAACTTGGCACTGCCCGAGGGCCCGGGGTCAGTAGGGGGCCCCATGAGATGCCCCTGGTACCTTTTTCATAGGCTTTTTTGAGTTTGGGTAAGGACACAGGGGCCTCATGATCCCCTCTTGCCTGGGGCCCCATGAGTTGTCAGTCCGCCCCTGTTCCAGGTATGGCGGATGCCTCTTGAAGTTATTGGGCTTAGTGCAGTGCCATCTGAAGGCGGTAAGTGTCATGGTCTGCGCAATGTTTCCATTTTTAATCATATGGTGGGCCTCATTCCGGAACGTATGGGGGGCTGGGGAAAACATGGAGGGCATTGATCCCAGTATTAAGTGGCATCTGGTTTAACTACAAAATGGTAGAACATGGCACTAAGGGGCAGAGGTGGGAGAAGAAAAAAAAAGGGGGGGGGGGAGGGAGAGGAAAAGTGACTTGAATAGAAATGCATAAAAACAGGGGGGGGGGGGGGGGAAATATTTCTCCAATCCCCCAACCTCATGGGACACCTCATTAACGCCTACCTTCCTTCTAGGAGACCCCTCTGTATTGGTTATAACTCATTAACTTGCACCCTCCTCCAATAGGTCTAATACTTAAAGCCTTTCTAGGTTCCTCCCTCCTCCCCTCTAATTTGTATTTTCTTATATAACTCATTAACTTGCACCCAGAAGATGTTCACCTTTTTTGTAGAGAGATATTTGCATCAAGCGTGTCTAATACTTAAAGCTGCCTTTCGGGCAGTGTGACGAACGTGAGGGGAGCTCTTCTCTCCTCCCCTGAAGACCGGAACGGCGCGGGAAATTTGTACCCAAAAAACATTTTTAATTTAATTTAATTAATCCTTTCTGTTTTATTACATAGATTATTTTAGACTCAAAGATGTGATCACTGGGTCTCTGTTTTTTTATCTACAATGCATG